ATTTAAATATATTCTTATTATTTAATTATTTCATTTCTTATTAATATTATTCATATTCATATTTCATTTAATTTAACTTATAATTTAATTTTATTGATATTTATATTATATAAATACAAATAGATTAATAAAATTGATATTTATTTATCTATAATATCAAATTCATTTAATTTATATTTAATAATAGAAAATCATAAGTTAAAATATAGAATATAAGAATAATAAACAATAATAAAATAATAATAAAGATATAAAAGATAATAAATAAATATGATAAAATAGAAGATATAACAAATAATAAACATATACAATAAATAATAATAAATATTTTAACACAATAAAAAAGAATATATCAAAAAGAATAAATAAGAAAAAAATAATAATAATATAAATGATAATCAATTATAATTTATTTCCACTTCAATTTATATTGTATTTCATTTATTGTATTTTTATTTCATTCATCATCATTTAAAACATTTTCTTGGTATTCTTTTATTTTTCTTTAATTCTTTTTCACATCTACATCTGTAAAAACATCCATTTCCAAATGATGTAATTGTTGATGGAATATTAATTGATTTTAATGATGAACATCCTTGAAAACAATTATATCCTATTTCATTAATTGATGATGGTATGTTAATTGATGTCAATGATGAACATTCTCTAAAACAATCATCACCTAATTTAATAATTGATGATGGTATATTAATTGATTTTAATGATAAACAATAATTAAAACATTCATCTCCTAATTTACTAATTGATGATGGAATATTAATTGATGTTAATGATGAACATTCATTAAAACACCAATCTCCTATTTCACTAATTGATGTTGGTATATGAATTGATTTTAATGATGAACATTTATTAAAACACCAATCACCTAACTTAGTAATTGATGATGGAATAATAAATTCATTAGTATCTTTCTTTTCAATATTCTTTCCATTGATTATTTCTAGATTATCTGGTATTTTAATACTAACTAACACTGGTTCATTCATAAATATTCTTTCTTTACTTACAAATTGTAGATTGTCTACACTCACCGATGTCAATGATGAACATTCATAAAAACAATAATCTCCTATTTCACTCACAGATGCTGGTATGTTAATTGATTTTAATGAATAACATTCTTTAAAACAACAAATTCCTAATTTACTTATTGTTGATGGTATATTAATTGATATTAATGAACAGCATTCATAAAAACAATAATACCCTATTTCATTAATTGATGATGGTATGTTAATTGAAGTTAATGATGAACATTGATAAAAACAATATTCTCCTAATTTAGTAATTGAAGATGGAATAATAAATTTATTAATATCTTTCTTGAAAATATTCTTTCCATTGATTATTTGTAGAGTTTTTGGTATTTCAAAACTAACTAACACTGGTTCATTCATAATATTCTTTCTTCACTTATAATTGTATATTATCTATATTCATAGATGTATGATAACACCCT